AGCCACCTAAGTGCAAGGAAAGACCGCAGATTGCAATTAATACCGCAATTAATACGATACCTGTGAATATATCCAGCCATGTTGGTAACATCTACAGACAAGTCAATCAGCTTTGTGCAGCAATTTATCAGGTACATTGCATAAAATGAGTTCTGAAAATTTGGGATGAATGCAAATTTGTAGTTAGAAAAGAAAAATAAGATATTTAGCTTTTTCTTAGAACATTAAAAAGGAATTTACTTATAAATAAATGATAAATATTATAAATATAGAGGCAAGACCGATACAACATAGATAAGTTTTGAAACAGAGCACTATATTTCGGCTGGCCAAACCAACCTTCTTCAGGTGCATTGGGAATTGACAGAGAATAAAGCTGGTACTTAGATAGCTGTATGATGTTATAGCGAAAATACGTAAAGCTAATTTGATTGACAATGAGATAATAATTAAAAATATCTAGAAATAGTAGATAAAAATATTATTTTTATATTATTATTTTGGGCCGATTAGATCACTGCTGATCCAGTGTACAAGTCAGAGTAGGATTATCGTCCACGGTTGCTTGCTGAAAATTTCATAAATATTATAGCCAGATAGGAGGCCTAGATATCCACAGATTTATTGTGAAAGTGAAAGGAAAGTGAAAGTGAATGATGCGATACCTTAATAGCAGCATAGGCTGAATTGCTACGGTCTACAATGTTACTAAGGTTGAGATCGTAACGAAAAGAGACTTCATTCCAAAAGTGATATAAGAATTAAGCCCTGGCCAAAGAGGGGAGAGGAGGGGGGGAGAGGGACTGCCCCCTCCCCCTCCCTGTCCACCAATAACACACTGAGACATAAAATCTGGTAGACATCTTTTACTGGTTTAAGGATCAGATCCCAATGCAAATAGCAAGTGTTAGGTTTTGATAGTTTAAAAAACTGAACCTTTAAATTAACATTTTAAGCCATCACAAATTGTGTTTGAGGAATTACTGAAAGAAAGATTATACGCAGCTTGCCCCAACCATTGAAGTTTCAAACATATTTGGAAGCAAATCAATCAGTTTATGCCCAACCAGCATCAGCGCATTTTGCGCCACTGAATTATATGAGGCCACACACTCCCAGTCTCCAGGAATCAGTCTCCAGGGAACCAAATAGTAAGTGTACTATCAGTGATATCACTTGCGGAATATTGAAAAGCAATGGAAACTGAGACACTGTCGACATACCCTACTTATCTCTCCTCCAAGAGCAGTTATAGATAAGTTATCAAACTTTCCTCCAAACAAAGCAATTGCTATAATCAGGTAGCTGAGAATTCCACCCACATAATCAAACAAACTTGTGGAGACTACAAAATAACATGAAAAAAAGGTTGATCACAAAATAATGAATATTTTACCATATGAATGATACTGCCATGTCCCCACCCCCCCCCTCTTCATTCATTGGAAATATTCCTTTATGTGAGCTACATGTAAAGGGCATGAGCAAGGCCACAAAAATCCACCTAAGCCAAGCAGTAAATGCAAGCTGAAAGATAAAGGGAGGAAAGAGAAAAAGTGACAGTTCTATCATAAAATTCTTATTGACCACATTAGGGTGGACTGTATGGTCCCAAAACATTTCCCATCCAGCCATTACATCCAGCCCTTACACCCAGTCAATAAGTACAAAAGAGTTACTCATTTGGCAGCTTCCGCTAAATTTAATTTTCAGTTTCTGTTGATTTTATTATAATTTTTAAGTACTTACAGAACAAGAAGCTCTCATAGGTCACAATTCTGGTCTGAACTTTTATAAGCGACTTAAAAAAAAAAAAAGGAAAAAAGCTGTGCTTAATAGAATGATGTAATGAGATGAGCCATAACATTCATTATTTAACAGGAAAAAACAGCAAACAGTGACATGAGGGAAAGAATTAAAACTGTTCAGTCCCATTTATAGTTGGAATTCACAGACAAGGACTATCCACCAGCCCGGTAACTGTTGCAGGTCATTTTTGTTTTTAGTTAGTTTTATTTTTTCCTAGTAGGTAAATTTTTTTTTCAACTAAGTTGAAATTGTAAATTGGCCACTGTAACGTATAAAAAAGCTGACGTTTTGAACATTAGCCCTTTGTTAGAGCGAATTTTCACCTGGTAAAATGTTTCTCCCAAGTTAAGTTTTATTGTTTTAAGGTAGGACCTGAGTTTGGGTCAGGATGGCTTACCATACAACAAAAGCATTTTGCTTACAGGGTTTGTGATCAAGCCTCAGCATTACAGTTTTAGGGTTAGGGCCAGGGTTAGTAACTTTCTATGCCAAACGTATACTAGATATAATTAAAGAGCTACATGTATGATATGGTTATGTATAGGTGGTTAGTCTGAAAATGGGAGGAGTGGGAAAGGAAATCTGGTCAGGGGATGGAAAAAAAAAAACAGGGAGGGTGCCAGGAGAAACTGGGGAGGGAAGTAAGGTTTTTTGAATTTTTTTTGTTCAGTAATGAACAATACCTGTAGCTTTGAGTTTGTTTTTCTCATTTCTAAGCCAGCAGATCTATAAAATGCTATTGATTCTGCATTTGATCTGATTTGCATGTGCTTGAACCTGAAACAATTTCAGTGTAAAAATCATAATCAACAATACAGTCTATTGGTAAAGATCTTACTTTTAATACACACAAGTCTCTTTTATCGAATCCAAATTTTGTCAGTTTGACTTTACAAATCCTTAAACAGAAGTCTGTTGAGAATTTTTTTCCTTGTTTAAGCCAGGCTTAATTGCAACACAATAACCTATGGTAAGTAAACTGTTCTATTTACAACAAAAAATATATCAACAAACAAGAAAAATAAAAAAACAAAGAAAAGAAGTTCCACCCCACAAATAATTCATTAGTTTGTGTTTACCGGCTGCCGTGCTTTGTCAGGCTTTGTTTAATCACTGGATGAAGAGAGATAAGAGGAAATTACCTGAAGTCTCCTTCAAGCTTTTCTTGCTTTACAACCAGGTTAACAATTGGTGACATTATTAATTTGTTTATGATTGTTCCGCCAATGAAGAAGCCATATATGCACACTAGACCAAGATATCCTGAACTGAAACCAAAAAAGACAAAGTACACAACAATTAAAAGATATGGGTACATGTTAAATTAAATTAATTTTGATCCACTGGTTACTGCAGTTGAGGAAGGCAATCAAACACAACCAATAACTGGGTCAGAGTATTTGCTGAAGTCAGTCTCAACCAGCAGGCAACCATTTATTCCAATAATTCCCTTCTAGGTGACGCCCTGCCCTACACCACCGGCCCTTATCCTCTACCAACCTGTCCCCCTAATGCTACTCCAAAAATGAACCCAAGGCAGAATTTAAAACAACATCGATCAGCTTCCAAATTGGGCCTTAAGGTCCAGTCTTCTATATGCTTAATTCTTTCTTTTTTTTTTACTCAGTGCTTATTGTACAGTAATACTCCTCACCCTCCCAACCCCCCCAAAAAAAAACTGAGTTAACTCTGCCTGACCTAGCAGCCTGAGTAAAAAAAATTTGGAGGGTGGGGGTGGGAGAATAAGAGGGGTGGGGGAGAGGAAGGGGGTATGCTTTCAACAAGTCTTGAACCACTGTAGTTTAGGTTACTCCAACACTACGTTTCTGTACCTCCTCCACCCCACCCCTAACAACCAATTTTGTCAATTTTTTTCTTCTGTTTCCCAGTAACCATTAATTTTTCTGTGTGAATATATCCTTAAATGGCTTGTTTTTCTATTGTGACAGCTAGTGCAGTTATATCCTAATAGCATTCCTAATAACTTGTCCTTATCCAAAAATAATTATTATATAAATTATGATAATCACCTCTGATAGCACAGGTAAGTGTAGTATGTAATGGTGAAAGGAGAAACCACCACAACAACGATCACTTTTCTAAATGCCTCACAAAATCTCTCCACATCCTGTGTAATCCTCTGATCTCTGATAAAATATAAGGAATTTGGATAAGGAATATCCAGTACTTTAAAAAAAATAATAAATATAAATAAATAATAAGAATCCCAGCGTTAAGTACACTTTAGAATCTCTGGCCAGCTATGGAGTTGGATTTGGATTGATGGGCATCTGCAGTTTTGTTTTGCCATACCATCAATAACAATTCTGTTGCAGACTCCTTGGGAACATGCGCCATGTTTCACAGGGCTTGAAAAGTCACACCCTGGGTTGTGATGTGATGGAAGGATTTAGGACAAAATTCACGACAAGCTTGGGCAAGGTCCAAACCTGTACTTCCCAGAAATTATTTGGACACTTCCACAGATGGAGCTACAATTAGCTACAGTGTACATGAATGTAATGTGGAAGGCGAGTTTTAGTGTGTTCTTCCTTTCCACCAGAAATGAAAATAAGAAAATTATCCGTCTATGTGACATTGCTTAGATATTAATAATTATCAAATCTTTGAGCCCTAACAGAAACTAGCATCTACTTTCTCTTTACAATAATTATCACCTGTGAATCAATCATTACAGTCAAGAGAATAAACAAAATGGTCACAGATTAAAGAAGCTCTTCATTGTTAAATTAAGATATACAGCCCCACACTTACAGGAACTGAAAAAAAATTATTCATTGAATAGAAATTCCCATATTAGGGCTGCCTGTAAAACTTTAAGTTGGTCCTAACTCAAGGCTGTGCTCTAAGAAAAATTGAAGGGAGCCCAGTGCTCTGAAACTGCCAAATCCAGGGTGCCCAGCAGATGCTTTTTATGAAAAAACTAAGATTCCTGAGTCGCCCAAAAGCAAAAGTAAGGTGCCAGCTCAGGGGCAACTGGGCACTTCTAGACCACAGCCCTGCTACGCACAATCCTATAACATGCAGAATGTAGGAAGAAGGAAAAAGGACAAAAAGAGAGGCCATCATGGTACACTAAAATGCTTATTTACTAATGAGTATTTAGGTTGGGCGAGACAGAATTAAATATCTTGCTTAGGGACTTCACTGCTTGGTCCTCAGGCTAATTATTTTCCCATCTGGCACTCCCATTCAGCCAATAAGTACATATCATGAATGTTCTACTTACATGTTATCATATTTGTCATCTAAGACGTTTAGTTTGTAATACGCCCTATGCTTAAAATAGCTTGCATGAAGTTTGCTACAAAGCACCTCTCTCCATTTGACATAAAGGATTCTAGAGACCAATTTCAATGCACTGTTTGCCTAAAAATACAAAACAAATGTCATTATGAAGGATATAGTCTAAGAAATTGTGCACACTTTTTTCATTATTATTTGATGAATGTGGAAGTTAACTTTAATTTATTAAATATGAATCTAGACATTGATTGACAGGTCCTGTACGGGTATAGGCACTTTATATATTAGTCCTTTCTTAGAGTGAGCAATTTGTTCAGCATGCAATTCATAAGACTTGGATAGACCCAATTAGCTATGAACCACACAAGTGCATTTCAATTGCTGGCTAGAAATCTGAGCATGTTTTATTTGCAATCAAGCAAGCAAGCAACAAGTTGATTTCTATCTTCTCTGTGAGTTTTAGTTTTCTTCTACCCATACCACAGGCAGTTTTGATAGTTTCTATATTGCATTGGGGTTTGTAAAATATTCTTGACTACTGGATCATTGTTTTACTGTATCAGTCCAATAACTTTTATGTAACAGTGTGGTGTTTTAACTGACACAGGATATGTACATTTAATAAATAGCCTGGTCACAAAGCAAGACTTCTGTTGGGTGTTCAGTTGCCATAGCAAACAATACTATTACAATTTATAGCAATTGGTAAAAAAAAAAAATGCAAAAAAAACATTTATCGTAAAGAAACCTAGTGAAAACCACTGAGGCTTGCAAGATTAGGTTCCCTTGCAAACAGTACAGGATAAATCTAAATCTAGAGAGCAGATATAGAAAAATAATGCATTGATAAGTCATATAATAGTCCATAGTAAAATTACTAGTTGTTGATAATAGATAGGATGCAAGAGATGAACAGCCCATGGTCTCAAAATAAAGAGAGTTGAAAATATTTTCCAAATATTTGTTTTACATAATGGCAGACCAAAGGAGTGAGTCTGCAGCCATGGATTATAATGGACAAGCAATCAATTAAAAAAAGATGGTTTTTTCATCTCAGTTGAAAACTTACCAGTGAAACACCAATGATGATTAGAAGAGATGATATCAAAAGACTTGAAAAGTCCTCTTTATCTCTGGCCAAAAGAACTTCATAAAATCTGCTTGGAATTAACCCAGTGTTGTATACCATCATTTGAGCTGGAAGAAAGTTTACATATGATAATTTGACTTTTCACTATCGTTCAAAACTTTTTCTGGGTTTCAAATATCTTAAATAACTATAATTTCTATAGGCTTCTGTCCACAATTATAGATATTGATTCAAAACAAGGGATAGTAAAATAAAATTATTCACCTCTAAAAGTTTGAAAACAAAGAAAAATTTGAAACATGAAATGTTAATATAATACCAAGACCAAATTNGGGGTTGTGGATACAAGAGATGGGACATTCCTGGGGTTCAACGGATCATAGTTAATCGAGGGTCCCCTCGATTAACTAAGAACGGATTTATCACAGATACAATGAATATATGAGGTTCACATATTTTGAACTGCGGTTATAGATACGTATGATGCACGATCCTCGCAGTAGAGAGCGCTATTTATGCAATAGCGAAAATCAGACCTGAAAAAAATCAGGCCTGTACGGGATTCGAACCACTGACCTCTGCGATACTAGTGCAGCGCTCTGCCAATTCAGCGCTGCATGATTGGACAGCGCAAGTTTTTAGTAAAAACCGAGTTGTAACTTAATATGCGAACCTCTGTTATCGAGAAGAATTTAAATGAAATACTCCTGGCCTTTTTACCTGCCAAAGCAAACCCCACCAAGACCACAAAAAGAAGAAATGGTGTGGAAGAACAGCTTGGGTTCATGACTTTCCAACATCGCCAAAATCTCTTCACGAACAAGCGATCCAATTTGTATTTTCTTGAGGACCTGTAACGAATTAGAAGTAACAATGTTAGGCATATACGGCAAACGCAAATATCGATGCATGAGAACCTGTTTTAGCCGATGTATACCTTCCATAAACTGCCCCCATCGCTCACGTGTGTGATATATATGCAAATCTAGCGATATAATCAGCTGCAGAAACCCTAAAGCGTAACTTGCCATCAAACCGGAAACCGCGACTATTAGGCAAAGTCCATGTAGTGGCCAGCAGTTTCTCCCATGTAAACCAGTTTTCTCTCTTATCTTCGGACAAATATGGCGACGATTAGAAAACTAAGGGGTCGTCGCTCAATTTTTGTGTCCAGAGTGCCATGGACGGTTTGTCGAGGTTAGTCATGATCACCTTTTGCTTTTAGGAAATTCTTTTAACACAGTTTATTTTATTGGTATCAGACAGATCTTGCATCTTGTAGATGTGGACTTGGAACTCTTACCACGTGTATTTTCAATTTGTCATCCTATGAATAGCCAGTTGTAAATTGAATCTTGCATTGGAAATATTTTCTGTTCTCCGCCGCCTGGTTAGCTCATGATCTAGAGCGTCGGACTTCCCTGCAGAAGGTCGAGGGCTCAAGCTCTAGACCGGACCAACACTCGTGGTCTTAAAATAACTAAAGAGAATGTGCTGCCTTTGCTATGACATCTGCAAATGGTTAGACATTCTCGGATAAGGGCGAAAAACCGTAGGCCATGTTTCCTGCGCCTCTTCAGTACTGGTTATCAGAGGACGTTAAAGAACCCACACACTTATCGCAAAGAGTAGGGAACGTAGCTTACGGTGTTGTTGTCTTGCGTTGATTTTGATATTGGGGTTATCTGCAAAAATTTCCTTCAAACATTGTAAACGGCTCAATGTAGTTTGGCCAAAGTCTCCCATAGTGTGTTGTAAGGCACCATGAGCTATAGGGCATGGCGCTTTAGAAATCCTTCATTACTTTACATTGCAATAACACCAGTTTATCTTCTGCGTCTTGCTAAACAAGAGGCTAACCAAATCTGTCTTATTTCCATTGAAATGTGAGGCGTGAAAGTTTCAGCGCTAGTTACACAATGAAGGCAAAAATTGTTGGTTTGGGTTGAAAACTTGCACAGAGAATTAACAATCACATTTGGGAGTTAAACAATTACTTTGTGTTAATGTCATTTTAAACAGATACCCTCAGGGAGCACTTTCAACAGTTTGGGAAAATCACAAATACGAAAATTGCATTTGTAAGTACTTTTAAATTCTTTTAAATCATTCTTTTGTGCACTTTTATTTGTTCTCGCTCATGTTAGCCTAGTTTACCAATCTGCTTAAAAGAAAAAACATGACACTAAAAATTTTTTTAAAAATTGATAGTTTTCAAGAAGAATTGTAAGTTTGTGCTTTGCATTACTTTGCAAATTAAAAGGCTCCAGTTAACAATTTCATTTCCAGGAGTGGCCAAGAGAGAAATTTTCCTTACAATATCAATACAATTTCAAGCAGACAAGTGATAAGAATGAAGAAAGATAACAACTAGGTGCTCATTACTTGATCAAACACCAAATTCTTAGAACTAATATTATAAGAAATGTATGGCAGATAGTAAAGAGAATTTCTTGTGATATTTGGAGGGAAGAGGACCATACACCAAATGCAAATATGGGGTCCAATTTGAATTGCCATTGTTCTGGACTCACTAGCCTTTACTTCATGTGAAAATACAAAAGGATTATTACATGTGTGAGAGGCTTATCAGTCCAGAACAATGTCAACTCAAATTGGATGCCACATTTGCATTCAGTGTATAAAGCTATAATCATTATGGTACAGTATATAGGTTCAAAAGTCTTGAGTTTCTGTTAAATCCAACTTACCGTAATTTCTGGCTGTTTACCCGCGGGTAATCTGTTGGTTTGGCCTTAAACACGCGCCACTGCGGATAATAGGGAGGTGCGGGTTATGTAACAATTTTGAAATCTACTGGCAATTGAATTGAANGAGTGCCATAAAGCGGCACGAAAACATGATGCCGAGTCGAGTTTATTTTACGCACAATTAGTTGCGCGACAAACAAATTACAATCGGCACGCGTGTAAACAAAACTTTGATGGTCACAAAAATAAACCGAGGATAACCGGCGCATCAGTAACAAATTTCCAGTTAACACTAGCTTCAGCTGAAGAGAATTTTCCCGTTTTAAGGGACTTGTTAGGCCCAGTAGAACCAGAGATATTGATTTTTTTGAGAGGTCACCATGGCGCTGAATGATCGTTCGCACAAAATGTGGCCACGAATTCGCATTCTGTCAAGTATGCAATGGTGGGATTTGTAGAGCACATTTGTACAAATTTCCTTTGTTTTTAAGGTGCGGGTAACCTGTAGACTTTTTTTTTCGCTGCATGTAATAATCAGCCGGTGCAGGTAATCGGCCAGTGCAGGTAATCGGCCGTGCTGGTAAACGGCCGGAAATTACGTTAAATTTTTGGTAATTACTTGGGCGGAGAAAACTTAGTGCCACTGACTCAGCATGTTCTAATTCTTTCTTGGAAATGTTATCAAGGCAATTATTAAAGGCCAAGAAGATTCTTCAAAATGGTGCATTTTCAAAATTGTCTTTTTATTACAGTTTTTAAGCTTTTATCTTTAAAAAAAAAAAAAAAAGAAAGGAACAAATAAGTAAAGGAAAGAAATCATACCATTTGTTCAGTAGTTCTTTTTCTCCTCTTTTTCCTTTCCTTTCGACTGACTCAAGTTGACATTTGTCGGATATTGTTTGCCTTCTTATTAAATTGTGTTCGTGTACTTTCCTTTGTAACAGTGATTTTCAGAGATGTTCTTGCTATAGAGATCTTAATGCGTGACAATTTTCTCTCCTAATCAGCTTTGGTTTGTTCATTTAGTTGTCTACATTTTTCATCCTACAACACAGCTCAAGGGCTAGAATTTTTGTAGGTGATATTAAAGTAACAAATTTGTAATTTATCATTTTGAACAGGATAAGTTTACAGGCAGACACAGAGGGTTTGGTTTTGTTGAATTTGAATCCCTTGAAAGTGCTAAGAAAGCACTTGCTATCGAATATCATGAGATTGAGGGATCTAAGGTGAGGTACTTGCTTGACTCTACTAGCCTGTCAGACACAATAGCTGGCATCTGTGTTTGCATTTGCGTGTGAGGTTTTTCAAATAAATGTAAATTGAGATGGGTAAGAAATCGATCAGCAGTTTTGGTTCAAAACAACTCAAACTTTGGTATGAATGGACTCAAATTTGGGTACAAACTCACTCAAATTTGGATACAAAGTAACTCAAACTTGGGTACAAACTGACTTAAACGTGGATACAAAAAACTCAAACTTGGGTACAAATTGACTCAAACTTGGTTTCAAAGACTCAACTTGGGCACAAATTGACTCAAACTTGGGTACAAAACAACTCAAACTTGGGTACATATCAACTCAAACTTGGGTATGAATTAACTGTATTTGGGTACAAAACAAACACT